GCGCTATGAAGTAACCAATTAGCAGGTTAAAAATTTTACGTTTTTTTCCCGTCTAGCAGGAAAAAAGATTAGCAATAAAATACAACCTAAAGGTGCCGTATTTTCTTCATGCTAGCCAGTGTGAAAGTACCACATACTATTAAGTTTACTTTATAGAATGTTTTAAGAAGGATAATTTTATTGAAATTTAAATCGCTTTGGGTTTTATTATAAATAGAATGAACCCATTATTATGAAAATTTTGAATTATTGTTTTATTTAATTAAGAGTAACTTTAAAAATAGTAATATTACTTTGGGTTTTATTATGTATTATATGAACGCATCACATTGCAAAATTTTTAATCTTTTGAAAACTGTATACCTTGAAGAACAAGCAAGTGAAGCTTTTTATGTTTTTATTTGCCTTTCTTGTAGCTTTTTATTTAAACATTACTTTTAAGCATTAAAAAATTTCTATCAGTTAGCCTCATTTTTATTTTAGTTCTAAATTTTTGTGTTGGAAAAGTAGAGAAGTGCTGTTTTGTATAAAAACAACTTTAAAAATTTCTTTTTGTGTAGCTTCTTTATTAAACATTTAAGTTTTTCACTTAAAATTTTTGTGGTAAAGTTTAGGAACTAACAAGATGGTTAAAAGAATTTGTACTTTTTATTATCAACCCATCATCCTTCGTTCTTTTTTTTTTAATTTTTTACTCAAATTTGTTTGACTAAGATTAATTTTAAAAGGTAAGTTTTTAAAAGTGATTTCTGGAAAGCTTTATCTTTAATTTTTTTCGAGTTTTTAGGGTTTTGTTTTCAAAGGTTCACTTAAATACTATTATTATACAAGAATAATTTCTAAATTTATAAATTAGTTGTAATTTTCTAAGTTTTTTCTAGAAAAACAATAACTTTTTTTCATTTATAATATTTTTTAGTATTGCAAAAGACAAACTCAAATATTCTTTATAAATATTGTGTCCATTTTTTTTTAATACGAAGGATTAAAATAATTATATTTTTAATAATTACATCAACTTTTTACAATAAAGTAGAATTTTTTACGCCATCTTTAAATGGACAGTAAAAACTATATATATTTTTATTTATTTTAAACGTTCTTTTTGGGTTTTATCAATATTTGTCTATTAAAAGGACTATAATATATTTAATATATAATAATTAGATCTGAATTTTACATTTGAGCTAAAATTTTCACATATCTAAATGGACAGTAAAATTCATGTGTATTTTCTAGTATTCTTTGGTAATGCCAAAGAGAAATTTAATTATCCTTTATATACACATCCTATTTATATTAAAGTTAATTTTAGTGATCTTTATATATTAAGAGGATTATTTACATACTAAGTTGAATTTCTCAGCCATCTCGAGATGGACACTTTTTTTTTTTGCTCTTCATACCCACTATAACAAGTTAAGTTATTTTTTAGCCATCTTAAGATGAACATTGAAAAATATTTTAATTCTAATATTCTTTTGTACGGTAATAAAAATTTATATACACATGGAAAAGTTTGTTTGTTTTTAAATAAAAAAAGATTGCTTAATTCCTCTTTATACATGCTCATAAATTGAGAATATTTTTAGCCTTTAGAAGATGAGCAATAAATGAAGAATTTTTTTTTATTTCATAATCTTTCTTAGTGAAAATTCTTTGACTACATATTATATATACGAACTATATCTAGAAATTGTGTAATCAATTTATTTAGAATCTTACTAATCTTTTGATTTTTTAAAGGATACTTAAATACAAATATAAAATAAAATTTAGTTCAAAATTTACAAATTACAAAATTTTTTAGCCTTCTCGAGATGGATAATTATTTTTTGTTTTGTAAAAAAGCAAATTTTTTATTTAAATCTAATTTTACTATAAATTTTTTTAAGCCTGAATTTATTATGCAAAATAGAATTGCTTTCAGGCAGAAGTAAAGAAAAATTAGAGCATAATAACGCAAATCTCTACAAATTTCTTAACTAAATTTTAATTATATTGTAGTAAGAAAACTATTTAGTAAATTTACAGGCTAAAAAGTAAATATTACTATTTATAACTAAGTTTATAAGGGAAATTTTATTTTCTAAATCCACCACAGATAGATCAATTTCTTCTTTAAATAAATAGAAATTTTAATCGGAATTTTAATATTTTTTGAATCTTTTTCTAAAATTCTCAACGGCTTTGTCATCTGTGGCTTGAAAATTATTGGATTCTTTACTATTTTTTTCATTTTCTTCCGTTTCATATAAAAGTTGAACTATAATTTAAAAAAATATTTAAAAATTATAAATATAAATTTATAATAACTAATATTTTATTAATAAAAATATTAAAAAAAAAGTAAATTTAAATAGTTTTATATTATAAAATAATAAGAGAAGAACTAAATTAGTATTAAATTAATTTAATTATAAATTATTTTACAACAATGAGTGAATAAGTTTATATAAATTACATTTGTATTTCTTACAAACTTTTTTTATTTTTATGAAGTTTATATAATTTGATGAAGTTATAATAAATATTTAATATATATTATAAAAAAAGTTTAAAAAAAATTAACTAATTCCAATTTTTATTAAAAATAATTTAAGTAACAATAAAATAATTTAAAAATCCATTTTTTCCATAATATTATAGAAGAATTCGCAATAATTTTAAAAGTTATAATTATAAAAATTTTAATTTTTATAAAATTAAAAAAAAATTGAAAATTTAATTTAAAATAAATAAATTTATGTAAATTTTTAAAAGAATTATTGACGTTAAAAATTATTAAAAAGTTATTAATTATAATAAAAAGATTAGTAGTTTTTTAAAAATAAATAAAACTAATCCTTTTTACAAAATTTATAATACATTTTAATTAAAAACTAAAAAAATAAGGATTTATGAATTTAAAAGTTATAAAGATTAAAAAATATAAAAATATACAAAAAATTTATTTTACAAATAAAAAAATTAAAAAAATTAAATTAAAATTATTTGAAAAGAAAATATAAAAAATAAAATTCCGAAAAATTTTTATTTATTTATAAATTTGAAAAAAAAAATTTAAGGTAAAATTTTATAATATTTAAAAAGTTATAAATAAGAACAAAAAGATTAGCATTTTTATAGAAATTAATAAAATTTATAAAATTATAAATCTAAAATTTAAATTTAAATTAAGTTAAAGTAAAAGATGTATAGAATATAAAAATTTTAAATGATTACAAAAATATAAATTTTATAATTTTTTTTATAAAATAATTTCAAAATAATCGATTTAAATAATATAAAAAAAATCTAAAAAACAAAATTTTAAAAAAATTTATAAAGAAAGTTGAAGCTTAAAATTTATAATATTTAAAAAATTAACGATAAAAAAAAACGTATAAGAATAAAATAAATTTAAATTATTTTTTTTAATTATAAATTTAATTAAATAATTTTGTATTCTGAAAATAAAAAAAAGTAAAAGATTAAAAGATTTTGAAATTATAAAAAATTATAAAAATATAAATTTTCTTGAAATTTTTTTTAATTATAAAATATATTAAAAATATTTTATATAAATAATTGGAAAGAAAATTTAAAAAAATAATTTAAAATTAATTTAAAAATTTTAAAAATTTTAAAAAAATAAAAATATAACAATAAAAAATTTAATAATAAATTTATTATATTAATAAAAATATTATAATTACACATTATAAAAGTTATTTATGTATTAATAATAATTTATAAATGTTTTAAAATATTTAAAGTATAATAATAAATAAAAAAAAGTTTAAAGAAAGTAATATAATAAAAAAATACAAAGTGTAAAAAAAAAATATAATAAAAAAGTTTATACTTATAAAAAAATAATAATGATATAAATATATATATTACTATTATAATGAAAACTATTAAATGGTTAGCAAAGAAAATAATAGAAGAATAATACTCATGGGAAATATAAGTAAAATTATTTATAATATAAAAATTATATAAATAGAAACATAAAAATAATAACAAACAAAACTAAAAAAATTTAAAAAAACGCAAAAAAAGTTTAATAAATATAGAAATTTATAAAAGAAGCAAAATTAATAGCAATGAAATTTATTATAATTATAAAACTATAATTATATAATAAAAAAGTCACATGGTTATTATACACAAACTGTAAATCAAAAGTCTATATTATATAGTTTAAGCCAATGGCATGGTCTGATGTTATCAAATTATGTGGACTAGCCTATAAAAGTTTTATTACGGTCCGGTTTAATAATAATATTATTTTGCTATAAAAAAAATTTCTTTATAATATTTAAGTAGAATTGTAATAATAATATTAATAACAATAACAATAACAATAATAATAAAACAATAACATCGAGTTCCAGCGAGAAATGGATCGACTTTATATTTTGGTTGTCTATAAATATAATAATAATAATAATAATAATAATAATAATAATAATAATAATAATAATAATAATAATAATAATAATAATAATAATAATAATAATAATAATAATAATAATAATAATAATAATAATAATAATAATAATAATAATAAATAATGAATACTCGTTAAGTTTATTCAAAAGTTGATGTTTAGCTTTTTCAAAAGCTTCTATATTTTTAAGTTTCGCTCTGCAATAAGTGATATTTTTTTTATTTATAGTAATAACAAAATAATAATAATAATAATAATAATAATAATAATAATAATAATAATAATAATAATAATAATAATAATAATAATAATAATAATAATAATAATAATAAATACTCCAATCCCAAATCGACCTCTGGTATTCCAGAGAGCATCGAGCTAGAAAGCATTTCTTCCTTTTCCATACGTTTTTGCATCTATTAATAAATATCGGAGTTAGTATTATCTTGGTAGGGTTTATTTATATTGGAACAAAGTAATATTATTTAAATATTTTTCAATGCTCATATTACATTGATACCATTTAGCTTAACTTTTGGTAAAAATTAAATTACAGGTGCCCTCAAATAGGTACGATTTAAGAGGAGTCTGGTAATTTTTAGTAACATTAATGCCACTTAGATATGGTTTGGTATTTATTAATTTTCCAAAACAACTTTAAGAAATGGTAAACGGCGCGGTTTAGAATCAAATTGGTTGAATTAATTTAATTGATACAGTTAAAACTAATTTTGGAAGTTCTATGAAAAAGTTGTTATTAACGACCAATAGGTGCGATTTAAGTAACAAGTTTGGTAGATTTTTGTTTCACTGATGCAATTTAAATATTTGGCGTGCATTAATTTTATAAACCAATTTAACAAAAATGACAAATAGGTCTCTTTAGGATACAAATTTGGCAACTTTTAAAAATAATGTTTCATAAAAATTAATTTTGGTGTTCATTAATGCTCATTATCTTTAGAAATTATAAAAAACAATAATAGTTTACTGATGCCAAATTGGTACCCATAAAGATGTTTTTGGTAAACTACATTAAATTGAACAGTATTAACACGTTTGGACTTTATCATTCTCTTATTGGAGCCATTAAAGTTATTTAGGTGATATGTAGTAAAAGTTACAGTTTTTAACATGTTTGAACTTAAAAATTAACTGTTAAACTTTTTCTCTTTTTGGTGCCATTAAGAGCAATTTAAGTAACATTTAAGAAAACTTGCCTACAAAAAAAATTTAACTTTTTCTATTTCGTATTTATAACAACTTAAAATATATTTTTTATTTTTACTTTTTAATATATTCTTTCCCTTTTTTTGTTTATTACGAAATATATATAAAAAGTAATAAATACAAAAAATTAAACATATAAAAGTTTTCTATTTAAATATAATAAACTTATTCTTAAAAAAATATATAGACTGTTTTATATATCGCTTCCATAATAAACTTTTATTATTATAATTATATATTTACCATCTACTATTTAATAAATTTTAATCATTTTTATTTTTTAATAAAGTTTTGTTACTATTATTATTTTAAAAAACATCAAAATATAGATAAAATTCTACTGCTTTATATTCTTCCAAATCAAACTCTTCATCTTCTTTATTTTCGTCTTCCGGTACAGTTTTGCCCAGCCGCTTTGCTAATTGTTGTTCTACGTACTTCTCCCTTTTTATTTTTTTATATAATTATTTATAACTTTTAAGAGATATATAAAAAAGTAATAAAAATTAAAATATTAAAATATATAAAAAATGTTTTTATATATATAAATAATATTAACACTTTAAATAAAAATAAATATAAGTAAAAAAGGAAATATTATAATAAAAAATTATTGAAAAAAGGTTTTATATAAAAATATTAATCAAATTTCCAAAATATAATAAAATTGAAGAAAAATAAATTTTAAAAGTAAAAAAAAAATAAAAACTAGAAAAGTTATTTTATATTTAAATATTAATCAAAGTTATAGAAAAAATACTTTTTCTAAAATATTTAAAAGCTTTTAAGTACGTATTATTAAAACTATTAGAAATATAAGAAAAGTTTGAATAATATAAATATTTTAAGGAAATATAATAATAAAAGTATATTAATATAATATTAATAAAACTTTTTTTTAATAAAAAAATTTTCTTATAATATTATAAATATTAAAAGTAAAAAGAAAATATAATAAAAAAGTATTTAAAAAGTTTTTTTTAGTGCCAATATATAAAATTTAATAAAAATTAAATATAAAAAGTAAAAAATTATTATAAATTTTTTTTATATATATAAATATCATTAAAACTTTAAAAATAAATATAAATAATAAGTAAAAAAAAAATAATAAAGTATAAAAGAGTTTTTATTATATATAAATATCTAAAAAAAAAAAAAAAGTAAAAAATTAATATAAAAGTATTAGAAAAAAGTTTTTAATTTTATAATAAAATAAATATTAATAAAAAAGTAATAAAATCTAACAAAAACTTTTTTTATATATAAATATTTAAACTTTTAAAAAAATTAACAATATAAGTAAAAAAAAAATTTTTTATAGAGATATATTTTTAAATAAATATTTTAAAACTTTTAAATATAAATATAAATAACAAGTAAGAAATAAATAAAAAAAGTTATAAAAATGTTTCTTATATAAATATTTAAAAATTATAATAAAAAAATTGATAAAAAGTAATAAATACATAAAAAAAGGAGTAAAGAGACTTTTTATATCTGAATATTTTTAAAACTAATGTAAAGTAAAAAACAATATTAAAGTATTAGAAATTTTTTTTTAATATATTAATATTATTATAATTTATGAAAAATAAAAAAAAGTTTTTTTTATATAAATATTAGAAACTTATAATAAATATAAATAAAAGAAAAAAAAAAGAAAAAGTTTTTGAAAATATAAAATTATTATAGTTTCATATAAAAAATTATGACACATTTTTGTATAAATATTTATAAAAGTTTTAATTATTATTATAAATAATAATATAAAACTTACGAATAATATTAAAAAAACAAAGTTTATTAATATCAACTAAAAAATATGATAAAATGATAATCGATAGTAAAAAATAATATAAATTTTATGATAGAAATTTATCATTTTTATATATATAAATTATATTTATATATATATTCATATATTTTTTCTTATTACTACTATATAAATATATTTTTAATAAAAGTAGATAATAATAAAAGAAATACGATAAAAATGATAATAGTAAAAATAAAATAAACAATTATTAATAAAATTTTATCAAAGAAGGTTATTATTATTTTTATATGAAAAATGTATTAATAAATATTTTTAGTTTACTTTTTTATTTTTATTATATAATAACTATATGAATTTACACATAATAATAATATAGAAAAGAAAAATATAAATTTTAAAAAAAGAAAATAAAAATGAGAATCTTGAAAAAATAATTAACATATAAAAATAAAAAAAACAAATAAGAATTATAATAAAATTATAAATAATAAAAAAATTGTAAAATATTAATATAAAGAAAAAAATAAAAATTTACACGTAATAATAATAATAATAATAATAATAATAATAATAATAATAATAATAATAATAATAATAATAGTAATATAATTTACATGTAAAGAGTCGTTGAAAATGCAGACTTTTTCCCGCCGACTGAAAAACCGCCTAAGGACATCTGCCCGTCCCTCAAAACAATTATTATTATTATTATTACTATTATTACTAAAACTTTTGGAATTATTATTATTACTACTAAAACTTTTATTATTATTATTGTCACTACTATAACTATTATGATTATAATTATAAAATTTTTTATTATATTTATTAATCAAACTACTTAGACTTTTACTATTATTATTATATCCTTATTTACTATACTATCTTATTAGTACATTATTATATTTACTTTTGTTATCATAATTTATATTATTACTACTACTATTACTATTATTTCTTATTTTAAATAAAATTTTATATAATTATCATTACTTTTATATTATTATTTGCAATAAAACAAAATACTAGAAATAATAATAAATATATGTTATCTATATTCAAAAAAAGTTAAATATAAATAGTATATATTATTATTTTTCATGTAATAGTTTTAATTTAAAATTATAAATAAATATAATCATAATGTTAATGTGAAAAAATAAATATGTATTAAAAAAAATATAAAAAATAAAAAAACTTTTATAGTAAAAATTAAACGAAAAATAAATTAAATAAGAAATAATATAATTTTATAATTATAATAAAAAAATAAAGAAAAAACAAAAATTATAAAATTTATTAATAATAGTTATAAAAAATAAAAAATTGATAATAATAATACAAGTTTTAAACAACTTTAACGTGAATAATTATTTAAAGACAACAAATATTATTGAAATAATTATTTTAATAATAATAAGAAATATTAATAGTAATATTATAAAGCAAATAAAAAGTAGAATAATAAAATTTTTTAAACAACTTTTATAATAATAATAATATATAATGTAAATAACAATTATAATAACATAAAAAATACATAAAAAATAAAAATAATATACAACTTTAATATTAATAAATATAGAAAAATAAAAAATTATAATAATAAATATACTATTTATATAAAAATAAAGAAATTATAAGAAAAGTATCAAGCAACTTTAATAATAGTTCTGAATAAATAAAAAAAAGTAAATAGTAAATAATAAAATCCTAAAAGTATAATAATTATCATTTTATAAAAATTAAATAAAAAATAATAATAAAAAAAAACCTGTGAAACAATAATAATTATAAAAAATTTAAAAATTTAAAAAATAATAATAATGAAATATTTTCGACGACTTTAATAATAATTATATAAAAAAATTAATAATAATAATAATTATAAATAAATATAATATAATATATAAACAAATTTCATAAAAAAAAAAATTATAATAATAAATATATTTAAAAACTTTTATAAAAATTATAAAAAAAAATATATAATTAAATTATTTATAGACAAGTTTAATATAAATACTATATAAATATGAAAAATAATTATAATCAAATGTTAAACAACTTCAATATTAATAATTATTATAAAATAAAAAAAAAATAATAAATATTATTATTAAGCAACTTTAATAATAATAATAACAATAATAAGAATAAGAATAAGAATAATAAATATACTGACAACTTTGATATAATAAAATTATACAAAAAAATAAAAATAAAATAAAATGACAAAATCTTAAGCTACTAATAAAAATTCTAAAAAAAGTCAATAAATAAATAAATATAAATATAATAATAATAAAAATATTCAACTTCTTTATGAATAATAATAAAAAATAAAAATAAATAATAATAATAATAAAATAAGTAAATAACTATTATATTAATAATTATAAAAAATATATATAAATATAAAAATGATAATAATGAAATTCTAAACAACTTTTATATTAATAATTATAAAAAAAAAATAACATAATAAAAGTAATAATAATAATAAAATAGAAAACAACTTTCATCTTTATACTTTTAATAATAATAAAATATTTAATAGTAATTAAAAAAAAATAAAATAATTATTAAATATCTTAAAATAATTTTTTTTGAAAGTAAAATATAATTTATACGTTCCAAAAAAATTTATATTTTATAAAAAAATGTAAAGAAAATTTAAATTATTATTACAAAATTTAAAAACAAAATTACTTTCAAAATTTTAAATATTAATACTAAAAGTTATAAAATTAATAATAATTAGAAGTTTTATACTAAATAATAAAAAAGTAAAAATAAAAATTACCAAAAAAAATTAAAATTTTTACAAATAAAAATTAAAAATTTACATAAAAATAGTATAAAAGAAATAAATTTTTTTTGTACAGTAAAAAAAAAATAAAAATTAATTATTATAAAATTTAGTACGAAAAAAAAATTTCCTTGACATTACCAATATTATTAATAATAATAAACTTTTATTTGGAATTTGTTTAAAAAATAATAGATAAAAATAAATCTAATTATTATAAACATTAGTATATCATAAGGAATAATAGAAAAAATAATAAATGAAAAAAAACTTTAAGTATTTTAAAATTTAGTTTTTTAAGAAAATTAAAAAAAATTTTTTATTTAATATAATATTAAAATAACAATTAATAAATAAAAATAAATTTAATTATTATAAAATTTAATATATAAACAAAAAAATAATAAATAATAATAATAGAATAAATTATTATAAAGTTTAGTATATAAAAAGTATTTTGAAAAAAAATATAAATTTTATAAGAAAATTATTTTAAAATTAAATTATAAATAAAAATAAATTTAATTATTATGAAAATTGTATATAAAATAAAAATTAATAAATTTTTTATTTAAAAATAGTTTATTAAAAACATAAATTTATTTATGATAAATTTAATTTATATAAACAATTTATAATTAAAAAAAAGAAATTTTTATTTGAAATTTGCTTAAAAAAATAATTAATAAAAAATTATTTTTTTTTTAAAGTTAATATATAAAAAGATAACAAAAGAAAATTATTAAAAAATTAATTAGTAAAAATATAAAATTTTTATGAAAATTATATGAAATTTGTTAAAAAAAATAAATAATTACTATGGAAATTAGAGATAATAATAATAATAATATATAATAATAAAAAAAGAAATTTGTATTTAAACTTTGTAATAAAAATTTATTAATAAAAATAAATATAATATTTTTTATTTAAAAAACTATTAAATACCATAAAATTAATTTAAAATTTTGTTAAAAAAATAAAGAATAAAAATAAAAATAAAAGAATTTTATTTTAAATTAGTTATAAAATTATTAATAAATAAAAAAAAAGAAATTTCTATTTGAAATTAGTTTAAAAATATCTAAAATAAAATTTAATTTAATTATTATAAAATTTAGTACGTAAAAAAAAAAAACAATAACAAAAATAATTAAAAGAAATTTTTATTAAAAAAATTTTCTTTGTAATATTTATAAAAAATTAATTTGATATAAAATTTAGTACTTAAAAAAAACAATAGAGGAAGTAATAATAAAAGAAAAATCTCGTTTAAAATTATTATTTGATTAGTAACAATTTTAATATAAAGTTTTTCGTGAAATATTATTCTGCTTCCTTTACCTGATTGCAGACTTTTCCTTCAGTTCCTTTTTTTAATTATTTTATGAAAATATATATTATATGAATAAATAAATAATAAATTAAATAAAAATATGTAAGTAAATATATAAATAATATATAAAAACTTTAATTAAAGATATGTATACATAAATAAAATATAAAAAGAAATAAAATATAAAATAGTAAATATATGAATATATTAATAATAGATTAATAAATAAATAAAATATTAAGTAGAAATATAAAAGTATAAATATACAAAATAATATATTATATAGAAGTATAAATAATAAAAGTAACAAATTATATAAGTAATAAACAAATATAGAATTTGTAATGATTAATAATGTAACAAATATATTTTTTATAAACGAATATATAAGTTAATAAAGAAATTAATAAATATATAAACAAATTTTATAAGTATAAATCTAAATATACAAATCAATAAAATAATATATAAATACAAATAAAAAAATAATTGTATAAATAAATAAATTAAAAAATCAATAAATATATGATTATAATAATAATTAAAAGAATAAATAAAAGTAAAAAAAGAAAAAAAAAGAACAAGTTCTTTTTTCTTTTTTCGTTCTTCGGCATCTTCAGCAACGGCAAGTCTATCTACAGAAACACCTTTCCCTTTCGCACGGAATTTTTGTAATTCTAAAGTTTCTTGAATGGTTATAATTCTGAAAAATAAAAAAAAAACTCTTTTTTAATAGTAAATAATAATTTATTTATATAACAACTTTTCAGCTTCATCCTCAATATTGTCTTCATCACACTTATCAATATTTCTTATGTGTTTCGACCTTTTTCGAGTTTTAAACATTAAAAATAAATAAATAATAAAAACAGAGAAGTTAAGAAAAATATTCTTAAAAAGTATTAATAAAATATATATTATGAAAATTAATAAAATACGAACTTCGTTGGCTTTTAAAAAACTTTTTAGTAATAAATGAATTTTTCTGCGCTTCATGAGATCGTTATAAATTATGCGCTTCCATTGGCGAATTTTATTTAAGTTTTTTACTACAGTATATGTAAAAGAGTAGTTTTTCGTATAAAATATTAACGTAAAAGTTTTTTCGGTAACGGTTCACAGGGCCTTAGTGATAGTGACACAATATTAACTATATATATGAAAAATAAATACTTTATTATATCTGAAGAAGTATAAACGTTTGCCTTAATAAGGATTTCACTATAAGTCGTTTATTTCTATTTTTTTTTTAAAGAATTCTTTAATATAGATACAAAATTTATTAAAAAAAATTTGTAATAATTGATTAAGCGAAACTTTCTAATAAAGCCTTTTAAAACTTGAAGTTTTTTAGGTTGACATGCATTATTCATCCTTTTTTAATTTTTGAAGTGTTCTGGAGGACTAGTAGGCTTTTAAATTTATTCCACAGACCTTAATTTAAATAGAAATCACTCTTGAGAATAAATTCATATGCCTAACAAAAAAAAGTTATAAAAGACGTCCCAAAAACAATACTTTTACATATAAAAAGTCTTAAAGTTCTTCAATACGTGGGCATCTAACGTAACTGCTTTATATTAATAACTCCTTTATAAACTTCATTTTAGTTTAAAATAAAGGTAGTTCGCAATGCTTATAAACTTAAATTACTTTAATTAAAAAAGATTTATGCCCTAACAAATAAGGATTTTTTTTTACAATCCTTTACTTTATAATAAAACCGGTAACACTAAAGTTATATAATTAACACAAACTGCTAAATAGATAAATTTATTAATGGAGTTTGAAAAAGTTAAAAAATAATAATTTTGCCTAAACATAAACGAAAGCTCTCCTTGAATTATGTAAACATTCGCAGAATACAAATTTTCAAAAAATTAAAATTAGTTTATATTTAATAGTAATAAGCCCTTTAACATAAAAGGTAATAACTTTATAATATAATTTTAAAAACGTATATAAATTTTTAATAAAATGAGAAATTAAAAAAAACGAGTTAAAATTTAGTTTACCATAAAAATAATAACTATAAACTCTTTAGTATATAAAGTTTAAAATAAGTATAAAAACTTTAAAATTTTTATTAAAATCACCAGAAAGTAAAGAAATGAGGTAAAGAATTAGTTAATATAACGCTTGATGACTAAAATCTCTTCAATTATAAAGCAAATAACATTATATATATAAATGTAAAAAAATAAAAATGTGTAACTTTTTTCAAAAAAAAAAATTAAAAGTAATTAAGTATAAAATTTAGTTTATTACTGTAATATACAAAGTAATAACATTACACATAAATATTTATAGGATCATATTTTATTTTTTTACTTATTATTGATTACTACCGTTTTATATTTATTATTTTACAGGTAATTATTATATATATATTTGTTAGTATTAGTATTTTATATTTTTGTTTTACTTATTATTTGGGCTTTTAAAGATTCGATTAAAAAATGTTTATCAGAAAATTTAATAACTAAGAACTCTTCAATATTATAACAAAAAATTAATTTAAAATCTTGATTTCTTTAAAAAAATTATAATTCAAAAATGTTTATCATAAAATTAAAAAAGATAAATTTAAGATAAAAAGTAAAGAGTAAATTTGTAAAAGTGATCTAATGAAATCAGAAAGTAAAAGATCGATATATAAAAACTAGTTTATTAATAACTTTATTCCAAACAAAAAAAATCTGCAAGCTATCGATAACGACGAAGGGAAAGTGTATTATGGCGCTTCCACGTGGCTCTTCTGCCGGATCCTTTTGTATTGTTAAACAAATGTCCTCTTCCGACTTTTCCTCTATTCTTTTTTCCTGCGGAAGTCAAGCCGCGGTGCTCCCGATGTTTGTGGACTGGAGCGCAAATCCAGTTCATGCGAGGATCGCGCCGAATGGCTTTATGGCTGGGATCAACCATAATCACTTCAAAAAATTTATATGTCGAATCTTGAACAACCCAGTAGGAATTGAGAACGCGTAAATTTCCACAGGCAGAGCCCGCACGCGTTTCTGCTAATGATTGGAGTGATCGCTGCCATTTAAGCTGGTTTACTCCCATGTTAGTTGGTTTTCCAAAAGTACATCCTTTCCGTACAGGGCGCTTTCGGCCACCACGTCGAACACGGACTCTGTAGATCACAAATCCTTCAAAAAATTTAAATTTATAATTAAAAATTAAATCAAGGAAAGGAAAGGAAATTAAAATTGTAATGACTAACCCTGCTTAGCTTTATAGCCAAGCCTGCGTGCCTTATCAGGGCGAGTAGGTCGAGAAGCTCGATGAATGGCAGACAACTGTCGGAATTGCCAAGCTCTAATTCTGAATAAAAAGCGCAAAACGTCGCATTGCTTCTTCTTGTAAAGTTCTTCAATATACTTATAGGCCCCCATGACGATCTGAAACTAAAACATCGATAAAGATAACATAAAGTTAGAATAATTATTACTTTAAAAAAGGAATTTTAGGAAAAGTTAAATATATATAATAAAAGTGTGAAACAAACTAAACGTTTAATTGCACAAAAAAGTAAATATATGCTATAATAACATTAAATGTCCTTTAATTTAAGCTTAATTATAAGCATTCATATTTTTGAAGAAATACAAGCATTTTTCAAAAAAATGTAATTTACTTTTAAAACATTTGACAAATATAAGCATGATTTAAATAATAATAATAAAAAATTATGATTTAAAAACAACTCAAAATAATAAATTTTGTCAAAGTAAATACAAGGTTAAAAGATAAATACATATATATAAAGCCCATTATAATTAAGCTAGTAAAAGGTAACACACATTTTAAAAATACTTTATCCAATAATTTATCTAATAACTATATACTCACCTAGGTATAAATAAGTCAAGGGAACTTAAGGCACCCGCAGGGAAGAAGAAGGTTTAGTAAAAAAAAAAAATTTTAATGGATCATAACGAATGCAACACGCGGTTATGCATGAGATTCATTATCAGATATAAGAAAGTTACGTTTTAGCGTTACTACTAACGCTTTAGAATTATTAATGGTGTTTATTTGTAAAAGTAAATCGTTAACCAGTGGATTAGATTTTATTAAGAAAAAAAATAAGATTTCGTTGTTTTCTTTGGGGGGATCTTTAAATTTTACTTTACATTATAATTGGTTTGGTTTTAAACTTTTTATAAATAGAGTGTATATGTTATATTTTTACGATAATATACAGAAGCTTAATTTTTTCTTCAGTATATAATTACAGCCGTTTTTTATGAACCTTTTTCTTATCTCTTTTTCTTAAACCTTGCATAAAAAATTTTTTATGTCGATTTTTTCGTTTTATTACTTATTTTTTGACTATTTAACCGTTTTATATTGCAGAAGGGGGTTCTTCCTTAAGAATTGATTTGTGTAATTTAATTTACTTTTTTCTCTTGGTAAATCTTTGTTATAATTAAAAACTTTTTGATCCAATGTGGAGCAATAAATATCGGAAAGGAAAGAATGAAACGTGCTTCCGGAGTTGACTTAAAAAATTTGTTTAAATGCGTGGAGTGTGTTTTTTGAGAAAAAAAAATGCTAGTTTACCTTAATTTCAAATAGTTTTGGTTTTATATTCATTTTTTTAAAATAAAATAAAAAAAGGTTTAAAAACTTGAGTTTAGCTTTATTAATTAACTTTTACTATTTATGCTACTAATGTAAAAAATTAAAGCTATATAACTAATTTTTGTTAATAGTTTTCATCGTTAAAGATTTAAATAAGCGAACATTTTAATTAACACGTAAAAGGACTCAATGAAATCTGAAAAAAAAATTTTAAAACGTTTAATCTGAAAAAGCTTAAAATTTCCTAAGGTTTTTAGGGCGGGCAGCCTCTGTCTTCTTTGAAGGCTTCTCTTATTATTATTATATAGTAAAAAATAAACATAGATATAAATAGTTTTTAAAAAGCTCTAAGTATCACTCTAAGGAATTTTGTTAAACCTGAAATGTCTGTTGATTATTTTTTAAAAGATGGGTTTATTATAAAAGACATGAACAAAGAAAACTTTAATGCTAAGGCAATATTCACATAGTACTATATCCTTTTTATATTTATTGTAATAACGAGATGCAGCTAAGCTAATTATAGCTTTTTCTGCTTCATCATGTGTATGTACGTCGGTTTTAGTTTATTAAGTATCTCTTATGGAGTACTTTACGATGCTCAGCTTGATAGTAACTGCCGAGAAAGAAGGTACTTGATATATTTGTCAGGGTTGTAACTTATAGTTTAAATAAGAGTTCTGGTATGTACTCATGAAGCAAAAGATTTTCGGCAAGCAACTTTATGTATTCTTTCATCATGGGGAGCTATGAAGAGTTTTGGTTACTTTAAAAAGCTTGATTATAATAATCATGCTGTTTTAAAGTAACTTTTTGGGACAGTAAACATATAAAATGAACGTAAAATCAGTATTAAACGAATAAACACTGTTAGCAGAAACTGTTTTATAATTTATATTGACTTACTCTGTGTAAGCATTTATGTAAGAAATCTCACAGCTCGTTTTGCTTTCTTTGAATATTATAGTCGATATGTTTATACCATTTTAGTTCAGTATCTATTATTAATCAATCCTTTGTACTTTGGTTTGCCTTCTCTACTTAATAAAGATTTTTTGGTTTTAGAAGCGATATTGTTAATATAACCATTTTTATATATTTAGAAAATAACTATTAAAAGTGAACTATTACGTAATTTTAGAGAAGGAAAAGATCGCTACATTGTGTGCAAAGAGTGCGAGCTCAGTGCCCTGTTGGCGCGGGAAATCAGGCTTGTAGATTGAGAAAAGCGTAAGAATTAGTATATATTTAGGTTTTGTTATATTCTTTATAAGTATAAGCCGCCTTACTTGGAGCTTTACTGTTTTGCTAAGTTCTATTTTTTTTGCTTTTAAATTCAGTTTTACTAATAATTGTTCTTTCATATTCTCTGCTTAACTTAGATATTTAGTCTTACTTTTGCCTTATTTATAATTATTGCTAAGTTTTTAATTTTATTTCAGAGAACGGTGTAGTCATTGCTTGGGTTGTAAAACATATCACTTATGAAAGATAAGGAAGATTCTCAAATTAAAATAAGCTTATATTACGTAGCAAAAATCTTGAAATTTAAAAGTCTTAGGATGCCACATACTCCATTTAGTGGGACCAGGCTTATTGCACTATTAAAACAAAATCTACTTTTGGCATATCCAAAACTTGGAGCTGAAACACGAATTGTCCTTGTTGAATTATTTAGGCAATAATAAAAATATTAAATTGTTTGAGTAAAGAATTAAACTTTTCTATTAAAGATAGCAAACTTATAGGTCTGTAGTCAGCTATACACTTGTAGTAAAATATTAGTGATAAAATGTATATTTTTAGGTTGCCTTTAATTGTTTATTGTGATTTAATTGCTAACTTTACTCGCAGGTAAATGCTTATTTAAAATATAAGATTAGCATATCTGGATGGAATTAATACCGTTTAAGAATACAGTTATAGTTTTCATTCGGACCTGGAGCAATTTTACTGTAAACTTTATACTAATATTATTTACTTTAACCACGGGATCTTTCGAGAGATAACTGGCAATTTTAGTGGCCATACTTGTCATATTCGAAACATAACCTCGTAGAAATAAAAGGTTCTAAAATGCTTACTTAAAAAAAAAAGTTTCAGATTTAAAGGATTATCATATATGGGACTTAAAACACTTTTTATATAAAATATAACTAAAAAGGTCAGAAGCTTGCTTTTGGCTGGCTTTGCGCTAGTTTACTTTTTCAAAAGATTGTTATAGAACATTTAACTAAAGACTTTACTGTTATTCAGCTTGTAAAGAAAATTTCCTTTAGAGGATTTAGCGAGCAACAGGATATTTGCAATAACTGTTAATATGAGAGATAGCTTAGGCGTTGACTCTTTGCTTCTATCAACAACTTAATTAACCTGGCAACCAAAATTTTCAGATTCACAATTTTATTATTTAATATAACTAAGAAAAAAATTTTCCATATAAAAATTTACATACATTGCAAAATCTTGAACAATATATACAGCAAAATTTACTTTTGGTTGTCTTAAAAAAAAAATTTAAATGTATAATAAGTCTACAATTACTTTTGATTTTTGTAACCTTTCTGTTTAATTAGTAACATAATATGTTTCAGTTAACATGAACTAAGGGCTTGTAATTAATAAGAACAGTTAGAGATTCTAAAACAGCAGCTTGTATTGGAAAGATAGAGCGTGCATTAATGTTAATCGAGTAGGTTGTATAGCCTTTCTCAGACGGATAAGTATATTCACGAGGATTAATAAAGGTTTTATTATTTTAGATGAACATAGCCACACAGGAATGGGCACTATGTTAATAGCCTTCCCTTTTTTTAAAAAATGTTTGTCAGTGAAGTTGGTAGACCGAATGAATATAGCTACATTATTTACGTTAAAGTTGTTCCTCATGAAAATCAAGCGAATTTTTTTATTAAATAACTTTTTTATCATCACTCTATTTCCCTTAAGCATTGTGACAACTAAAGTTTTTTTTGTGGCAGGGTTTGTGGTAAATTTCGCCCACAAAGCAATGCTGACCTGTAATTTTTCTAAAACTTTAAGTTTACGAATGCCGTGGTAGAGGTCATTAATATTCCAAAAGATATATTCACTGTCGAAGGGCTGAAATAAGGGCATGAATGTTAATGTGCATAAATTAGTGAGCAAAATATACAAAGATACAAATATCAAAGCTGCGTGATTCATTTAAAGGAATATTTTTTTTGAAAAGAAAAATTTATTTTATAAGAACCGTTTATTAATGTAAAATTTTACCATTACGTTTAGATTAGAAGTGAAAAGTTTTATTTTAATATAGAAATTTGTTTAAAAACTATTTTTAAAATAATTCTATTTCATATTAAATTGAGTTAAAAGTAATTTTTTTCTTTTTAAAAATGAGTAGTTTGATTGAGATTTTTGTTATTTTGTAATTATATACTCGTTTCTTATCGAAGTCATCGGGACTGAACTATTGTAATAAACTTCTATATAAAAAAAATTTGCTTTCCCTTTTAACTGTTTTTATTATTATCTGATACAGTTTTTATTTAAACTTATTCTTCGTACCATGTTATATGCTTTGTTAGTACCGCAACCTCTCTAGAAATTTTTTTTTTTTTAGTAATGAATAATGCAGATGCTCGGTAATATCGAGCGCACATTGCTTAATGTCGCAAATAAATTATATATTGTTATACCGCATTCAGTTCGGCAGGTCTCACAAAAGGTTTAGTGGTCGACTGTGGTGAGTTGTGGTAAGCAACAAAAAAATATGTATGCAACCACAATAATTAATTTTTTTGTTTATGTAAATATATACAAAATATCATGCTATTGCAAAAAATACAATAAAGTCACTCTTAACATTTTTTAAAAATTATAACACTAAAGTTTGCAGTTAACCATCGGCGCTATATTATGAGGTAAAATACATTTTATATATTCATACTTTATTTTTTGTTCATACTATGAAGGGTTATACTTTTAGGCTTGGCGTGGTTAGCTTTTATTCGAAAGGCATTCTCTCAAGCAAACCAACTTCCTAGAAAATTGGGCACTTTCAAAGGAGCGTTGGCCCATGGACTTAATTCTAAAGAGATAATACTTCTTTCGGGTAATAAAATTAGAATCGACAACTTTTACTATAATGCGGAGAGCCAAGACGCGAACTGGATTGTCTCAAATTCAAGTAAAGTGATAAGTGAGTATCCAAAACCAGCTCTAATAGACAGTGAATACTTTATTATTGAAAAAGAGGACGAGAGAAAAATAGGGGCCTACAAAGGTGAAGAAAAAATTATTGAAACAGAAAAAAACTTCAATCATTATCAATTTCTTGCTTTGTGCGATGT